AAAAATTAGCAAAACAATTTTAAAACTTACTACATGAAGCTACAGTAATCAACACTGTGTGGTACTGGCATAAGGATAAATATAAAGAATTCAGAGTCCAGATACAAACCCTTTATTTATGATAATTGATTTCTGACAAGAGTGACAAGACAATCCAATGAAGAAAGAATAGTCTTTTCAATAAATGGCGCTGGGACTAAATAGTCACATGCAAAAGAATGAAGTTGGACCCATATCTCACACCATATACAAAATTAACTCAAAATAAATCATAGACCTAAATGTAAGGCCTGAAACTTAAATTCTTAGATTCTACTAGGTTAGGCAATGGTTTCTTAGATATGACCACAAAAGCAAATATGACAAAAAAAAAAACATATAAATTGGACTGTACCATTAATATAAAAACTTTTGAGCCACAAACAATACCACCAAGAAAGTGAAAAGACAACCCACATGATGGAGTTTGCATATGTTTTCCCCTCCAAAACTCATATGGAAATTTTTTTTTTTATTTAAGGATGACCGGCAAGGGCATCTTAACCTTTGACTTGGTGTTCTCAGCACCATGCTCTCCCAAGTGAGCTAACCGGCCATCCCTATATAGGGATCTGAACCCGTTGCCTTGGTGTTATCAGCACCGCACTCTCCCGAGTGAGCCACAGGGCGGCCCAGAGGGGGTAAAATTTAAACTGGACTTTGAAAAATGAGAAGCCAAGATAAGCACAAAGAACAGCACAAACAAAGATGCAGAAGTGAGAAAACAAAATGTATATTTGGGATAAATTAATCCAATGATATCTCTTAAACAGAGAGCTTGAGAAATGAAAGGTAAAATGGAAAGACAGGTTAACAGGAGTCATAAATGTCGGACTAAGGGATTTCATCTAAGGAGACAGTAGGAGGTGATGGTTAAGAGAACTGACTTGTTGCTTAAACTTTTGAGCCTGTTTCCCATCGGTAAAATAGGAATTCTTTCTCTCATGTGTCAAATATTTATAAGTATTTATGGATGAGGCATCAAGCTGAACAACCAGGGCTACTGCAATGTTCCCTACCTTCATGGAGCCTGCAATCTATTCCCTTCCTTAAGGTGTAGCTAAAAGGATTAAGGGAGGGCTGGTCGGTTAGCTCAGTTGTGTAGAGTATGGTACTGATAATGCCAAGGTCTGTGGCTTTTGGTTATTTTTGGTGGTGGCTGGCCAGTATGGCGTAGGTCTAAGGGTTTGATCCCTACACTGGCCAGCCACCAAAAAATTAAAATATTTAAAAATTTTTAAAAATTTTTAAAATTTTTAATAAAAGTTTTAAAGGAGATAATGCAAGTACAGTGTTTGCTAACAGTAAGTATTCAAATCTCAATATCCTTAGGCCGGCCCGTGGCTCACTTGGTAGAGTGCGGTGCTGATAACACCAAGGCCACGGGTTCGGATCCTATATAGGGATGGCCAGTTTGCTCACTGGCTGAGCGTGGTGCTGACAACACCAAGTCAAGGGTTGAGATCCCCTTACCAGTCATCTTTAAAAAAAAAAAAAAAAAAAAAAAATCTCAATATCCTTGAGATCTACAAACATGCAATTCAAATTCTAAACAAACAGTAAAGATTATTTGTATTAAAACAGTTGTGAACAGGGCATAACAAGGGAAGCCATAAAAGATTTCTGAACAGAGGAGTAACATAAAACAATTTTATTAAGTTCTCTGTGCAAACCCATGTTTCGGGATTATTAAGCAAGAAGTGGTTTTTAAGAGGGTCTGGGAGCCGGGGAGACTAGATCAAACAATATTAAAATACAAAGTGAGACCACAAAGTAAGAATAATTTTCTTCCTTGGCTCATAGAAGCAGAAGAGGCATGATCATAAAAGGTTACATCTCAAAGTGCAGCAGCAAGTCAATTAGTCAACTGTATAATACTGCCACCATAAAAACACATATATGTTTGTTTCTCATCAACATAAAAATGAGCAACTCACTTTGAAAGCAAAGAATGTCAGATTTTGATTAATTTAATAAATCCACAAATTAGGCACTCTACTTATTAATAGAAAGGAATGGCTATTAAAGGCAATAACTTCTGATCAGCACAAAAGGTTTACGGGAAGAAGGGAAGATATCCAGAACAACACTTCCCACTGGAATGATGTGAATGCTAGAGATCTGGTTTAATGAAAGCTTCAGAGAAGTTTGGTAAAACAAACAGCAGACTGTGCTGATCCTAAAAAGAAACAAGACAAAATCTGCCTGTTTTCTGGGCCAGCCCGGTGGCGCACTGCTACAGTGCGCCGCTTGGGAGCACGGCGGCGCTCCCGCCGAGGGTTCGGATCCCACATACAGACCGGTTCCCGCTCACTGGCTGAGCGAGGTGCGGGAGCAACACCGAGGGTTGCGATCCCGTGCCGGTCCTGGTCCAGTACGGGCGCAACACTGAGGGTTGCGATCCGTTGCCGGACACGAAAAAAGACAAAACAAAAAAAAAATCTGCCTGTTTTCTTTTACTTTATTCTTTTTAGAAAAATATACAATGCTTCACACACTTGCATAAAATTCACATGGTCCTTTGGGGACTTCACTTTCCCAGTCTCAGGAAGTGTAAGCAATAAATTTCGTTTTGTTATAAATCACCCAGTTCCAGGTATTTTGCTATAAGCAACAGAAACGGACTAATACAGACACATTGTAGTTAACTACAGAAAATCAAGACCAAAAAAATTTTAAAAGACAGGAGGAGACTAGCAAGAAATTGGTTAATGGATACAAAGAATGATTACATATTGTAATGATGAATAAGCTAACTATCCTGATTTGACCATCACATATTGTATACAAAAACTGATACTCAACTCTGCACCCCATAAATATGTATAATCAATCAAGTTTCAAAAGAAATTTTAATTAAATTTTTTTAAAAAGGGAAAATCCTAAAAAAAAATAGCAGTGGGAAGTGGTAATGGTGGAGGTTGTGGGATACAATGCAACAGAATTACTGTAAAGGAGCTCTGACCCCTTGAATTAATGAAGTCCAGTATTTATATAAATCTCTATATTCTGCTTTATGCCAAAAAGAACTCAAGGCAGCTTACCAAGATTCATATAAAAAAATCCAATAAAATAAACTAAAACTGAAAAAAGCAAAGCAAAGAGAAATAGAAGAGGACAAAAACCTGGACAAAGAACTGAGATTCATCACCAAAATGCATGCTGTAAGTTCCAATTTACTTGCTAGAGGGGACCACAAATTTGGTTTTAAGGATTTTAGCATCCATACAAAGAGGGAAAGAGTCAATTACAAGATTTTCAATAAAAACAACTGAAAATGATCTGGGAAAAGTATTCGTAAAGAAGATATTAATTAGTAATGATAGTATACAACATCTGCAACATTCTCATGTAATATAAAGTGACACATTTTACAGGACCAAAGTTTAACTCCGCAAAAATACCTCTATGCAGAAAACCAAGGAACACCAATGTGATGCATTCCAGGAGCGTGGTTCAATCTAGGATCAAGACTTTAGGGGAATGGATGGCGTGCATATATTTTAGAAAATCTTTAGTAAATAAGTGTCTCAGTCAAGCTTCTGAAAGCAGTGACTTTAAGAGTCTTTTCCTGACAAGTACCTTAGTGTAGCTCTTCAGTGTGGGCAGATAGGTACACAGCCATACACTGAATTATCAACTAAGCCAGGAGAGGAATACAGGCTCTTGTGGAAACTGTGCAGTCAGACACCACACCATCTCAACTCACAGGAGCGAGGTCGAGGACATCCTACAAAGGAGATGATGCAGTTCTCCATTCTAGAAGTGGCTTTAATTGAAAAGAAATAAGATTTAACTGAGAGTCACAGAAAAATCAAAAGTACTTGGTACAATTTATTAGGTTGGCAGAAAGGAGTTAAAGCTGACATCAGAGTTCTGAATGAGGAAAAACAGAAGTAGCAGAACAAAAAATTCTGCAAATTTTGAAGGAAATAGAACAATTCTATTTTAGACAAAATGTCTGGAGTTTGAGTATCTGAGTGTTAATGTCTAGAAGGAAATGTAGGTCTAAAGCTCAGGGAAGAGGTTAGGGATAGCAACAAATTTAGAAATCTGTACACAGAGAATTGAAGTCACTGAGTAGTTCTAATCCTCAAACTACCAAAATCCCTTTTCCTCAAACCATGGCCCAATGCAAACAAAAGAACTAGATGCCACAACAAGATATACCGTCTGAAAGAAGTACACAGCTGCAATACAAAAAACAGGTATTTCAAAATGATCCAATGTACAGAAAGAACATCTGGTACAACTACATAGAGTCTGAGTGAGAAAGATAAATATACGGATCTGTATCCCATCACTAGAATTAGACTGTATAGCTTACATAAAGAAAATGATTCAATTTGTTTACAAAGTAAATGGTATCTACTCTGCATTTTGTATTTAAGAACACAAGGGTATATTCTGTTTACAGGACCAAAATGTCTTAAGACTTATTAAGTTGGATACATGGGAATTTATTAGGCATGTTTGAAATTTTCCATAAAAGTATTTTTTTTTTTTTAATTTTTAAAAAATTCTCTAAGGGGCCGGCCCGGTGGCGCACTGCTACAGTGCACCGCTTGGGAGCATGGTGGCGCTCCGCCGAGGGTTCGGATCCCACATACAGACCGGTTCCCGCTCACTGGCTGAGCGAGGTGCGGGCGCAGCACCAAGGTTTGCGATCCTGTTGCCGGTCCCGGTCCGGTACGGGCGCAACACTGAGGGTTGCGATCCGTTGCCGGACACGAAAAAAGACAAAAAGGAAAAAAAAAAAAATTCTCTAAGGATTTGTAAGATTTATCAGAGTAAAGACATATCTTTGTGTCTCTGAGCAGCTAAAACCAACCTTCGTGTGACAGAAAAGGCAGAAAGGGCATGGTAGTTTCTTCCACAAAAGAAAAACATGAGTAAGGATATCCCAAAGGCTTTACTACTTTTATAAAGAAGAGGGAAGAGCATAAGAGATACAGTCCTCAGATACACAAATATGAGTTAAATATAGGAACTATGGTAGTTTAAAAATAAACTGATGAGAAAAGTAAAAATATAAACTTACTCTTTTCAATGAGCTGGTCCTGAACTCCTGCCAATGCACTTACTGCCTGAAAAAAAAACCCACCAGTTACTAGAAAAGTGACCACAGACCTCAGCAGAGCACTCCCAGACACGGGAAGAGAGAGAGAAAACTAATATTCCTCAACAATGGGTCACAGAAAGATCCCTCCCCCTCCCCCTCACAACACTTACAGCTGCTGATGTAACTGAGGATTTACTGAAGAGCCGCTCAGCTTCCTTAAACTTCCGATTCCTTCGATCATTTTTGCTATTAGAATTTCTAAAACACACAGAAGAAACTCATTATAAGCCTCAAGCTATGTCTGTGCCTCAAGCTGGGGACTTTATGCTGAATGCCTATATAAACAGTAATGTTTTCTAATGTATGGTATGTGTCCCCCATGATACATGAGATTGCTTTAGTTGGTTCACAAACATCTTCATTTTAATATGTATTTATTTTAATGCTTATTATTAAAAATGACTAGCATAGACTAGTGATCTAAAGTATCTCTGTTAAATAAACTTAATTTTCAAATTTAAAGAAACAACCAGGGATTCTTAGAGAAATGGCTGATACCAGGTCTTGGACACCTTTTGGGCCAGAAAGCAACAAAGTGCTCCAAGACTAATAGGGTCATGTCAAAAGGACAAAGGAGGGCCAGCCCGGTGGCGCACTGGAGAGTGCGCCACTTGGGAGTGTGGCGGCGCTCCCACCGAGGGTTCGGATCCCATGTGGTGACCGGGCGCAACACTGAGGGTTGCAATCCCGTTGCCGGTCCCCAGTACGGGCGCGACACCGAGGGTTGCGATCCCGTTACCGGCCAGTAAAAAAGACAAAAAGGAAAAAAAAAAAAAAAGGACAGAGGAATCAGCTTGAGGAGGCTCCCTCTGATCATGTTTGGGACAAACAAAACATAAAAAAGATGACAGGTGTGTTTGCTTTGTGAAGAGTCAACAAACTGTATACTTAAGATCTGTGTACATCTCTGCATATAAAAGGTTCCTTCAAAAAGTTCACAGAAAGAGTCATATTACCTTTTAATTCTGTTTTGCCATGAACTTCTTGAAGTACCCTTGTATTTCAAAAGTTTTTCTAAAAAAAAGCCTCTACACTTAACAAAAAAGCAATAAATAATACTAGATCCCAAAACACTGATTTTTTTTAAAAATCCATAACTCCGTCTGGCCAGTTAGCTCACTTGGTTGGAGCATGGTGCCAGTAACACCAAGGTTGAAAGTTCAGATCCTTGTACTGGCCAGCTACAAAAAAAAAAAAAAAAAAAAAAAAAAAAATCCATAACTCCATAATGATAATAAAGAGAAAGAGGGAGAATGAAAGGGAGAGAACATAAAAAAGGAAGATTCTTCTTTCAAAATGCCAGTAATAAATATAAAGGGAATTATAAAATTAGAGAATTGCCATTTTGCAACTTCCAGTATAACAATGGGTACTAAAACTACTGAATAAAAATATGGAGGCAGCAGTATATTCACAATGTTTAAAAGTATTACCTTCAAAATTACTTGTTAATCACAAGAAAAAATAAACTTTTATTTATTTATTTTTTTTTTTTAAAGATGACCTGGGGCCGGCCCAGTGGCGCACTCGGTAGAGTGCGGCGCTTGGGAGTGCGGCGGCGCTCCCGCTGAGGGTTCGGATCCCATATAGAGACCAGTCCGCTCACTGGTTAAGCGCGGTGCGGGCGCGACACTGAGGGTTGCGATCCTGTTGCCAGTCGCGGTACGGGCGCGACACCAAGGGTTGTGATCCCGTTACCGGTCACGAAAAAAGACAAAAAGGAAAAAAAAAAAAAAGATGACCAGTAAGGGGATCTTAACCCTTGACTTGGTGTTGTCAGCACCACACTCACCCAGTGAGCAAACCAGTCACCCCTATATGGGATCCGAACCCGTGGCCTTGGTGTTATCAGAACCACACTCTCCCGAGTGAGCCACAGGCCGTCCCGAAAAAATAAACTTTTACAGCAGAGAAATAATTTGATCAAACTTAGCAGCACCTATAACAGCACAATCTGACATTATATGCCTCTCAATAAAATAGAGTTAGATAGTAAGAGATACACAAATCACTTACGTAACATTTTTGCCAAAAATGTTCAAAAGATCTATCATGAGATTACAGTAAGAAAAATCTAGAATTGGAACATTCTACAAGACAACTTCACGAACACCACCACAGCCACCACCAAAAAGGGTGACAGATTCTCCTAAATCTTAAGACTAATGAGACAAAACAGCCAAATACAATGCATGAAGGTTGACTGGATCCTAGATCAAAACAAAGTAGTAAAGCAATTTTGGGACAATCGAGGAAATCTCAATAAAGACTGTGTATTAGATGATACTATTAATGTAGTGTTAATTTTCTAGTTATATTTGTGGTTAGGCAGGAGAAATGTTCTTATTCTCAGAAGGTAATGGATGACATATTTAGGGGCAAAGTGTCATGATATCTTCATCTAACTTTCAAGCAGTTTAGCAAAAAACAAAAAAAAGCATACAGGGAAAGGGGGATGTAACTAATAAAGGAGCAGTAGCCTGAGGGAGATCTTTGTGGTGATGGAATAGTTCTGTTTCTACACATGTGACAAAATGACATAGAACTATATATACACATTGTACCAGTGTCAATTTTCTGGTTCTGATATGTACTATAGTTACATAAAACACAACCATTGGGGAAAACTGGGTTATGGGTACATGGTACCTCTCTATTTTTGCAACTTCCTATGAATCTATAATTATTTCAAAATAAAAAAACTTTAAGTGTAAATATAGGGGTATGTGTGTGTGTTTATATATTATATAGAGAGAAAGAGAGACAGAGAAAAAACAAATATGGCAACACGTCAACGCTTGGTGAAGATAGGTAAAGGGTATCAAGTGTTCATGTACTATTCTTTCAATTTTTCTATAGATTTGAAAAATTTCCAAAAGTTCAGAATTTTTTTTTTTTTTTTTTTTTTAAAAAGATGACCGGTAAGGGGATCTTAACCCTTGACTTGGTGTTGTCAGCACCATGCTCACCCAGTGAGCTAACCGGCCATCCCTATGTGGGATCCGAACCCTTGGCCTTGGTGTTATCAGCACCACACTCTCCCGAGTGAGCCACAGGGCCGGCCCCAAAAGTTCAGAAATTTTTAAAGAATAATATCACTAAGTAAATAGTGGTACAGTTGGCACCCAAGTATGGCAAAAATTGTGAGGGTGTAATTCACGACTGATTAAAATGTGGAAAACACTAATAGAATGCTGTTGTGTAAAGTACTGCCATATGCTGTTTTTCATTTAAGCTTCACACAATCCTGTGCCATAGGCCCGACTTTCCCTATTTTACAGATGTGGGTTTTGTCCAAGATTACCCAGTGAAGCAGTGACTGAGCCAGAGTCCAAGTTCAAGCCCAGACCTCTTTCCATACCACCACTTTACTGCTGCTTCCTTGCAAAGTGGCTATCAAGAACATACAGTAGGGCCGGCCCTGTGGTGCACTCGGGAGAGAGCGGCGCTGGGAGCGCAGAGTCGCTCATGCCGCGGGTTCAAACCCTATATAGGAACGGCCAGTGCACTCATTGGCTTAGCGCGGTGCGGCTCACACCACACCAAGGGTTGCGATCCCCTTAGCGGTCACGAAAAAAAAAAGACAAAAAAAAAAAAAAAAAAAAAAAAAAAAAAAA